CTGGGTCGGGTATGTAGTTTCCAGCGGCTACGATGAGAGGGTTCTCATGTCGTGCCGCCTTCTCAAAATGGCGCAGTGGGAGTATGGAAAAGGGAACATCGTTAAAAATTCAAAACCTTTCAGAAAACAAACATTTATTTCAAAATTTGTTAAATAAATACATATAACTAATTACCACAAATACCTAAAATAATTTTACCTAAAACGAGACAAATGCAACAATATTTCACAATATAATACATAATTCCACTAAATATGTTTCAATAAATAATCGAAAATGAGAATAGCTTACAATAGTTTGTACGATATTAAGAATAAAAGAAAAAAAGAAAGAAAATACACAGTCAATTAAAAGTAAACTTCTTAATATTTACACTAATTTCGTAGTTCTAGTAATCTCACTTTGGTAAACTGTGGTTATCAAGTTTCATGATTTACTTAAATAATTTAAATTAATATCTATGAATGTACTGATAATGAACCAGGTGCTTCGAATACCACGAAACATCTAGAAATACGATTGGATTTGATTAAAAAAGTATAAATTCACTATTGATTATAAAAGTAAGCTGTAAATTTCGGCACGCTACAGCAAGGTTAAAATTACCTATTAGTTCCTTGAAATTTACAATTTTCGATATCAGAGCCTTTTTCTTTCTCTTTCGGCCGGGGGTCCAATTTCCTACGAGGTCCCCGCGCGGGGCACGTGGGACTGGCCTATTCGCAGATGTTGGGAGCGAATCGCGGGCTTAAGGATGGTATTTAGGGATTTACCCATTAAATGATTTCCTTGCACTCTCGCCAAAGCGTCCGAGCCCCCGGAAGTCAGAACCCGGGCAGGGTAAGGTTACCGCGGTCAACACTGCAACCAAACACGCGGGCTCGCCCCAAGGACGCCCGGCCGGCAGTGCCTTCGAGGCTTCGATATCGGACCGTAATAATCGCGATTTTTTTTTCATTACGTAATATTTAAACTGTGAACGCTCTATTAAAATTTTCTACACAGATATAGATATTACTTTTAATAAGCTACAAAGTTGCAATAGTTTCCAATTGTCTACAAAAACCATTTTTTTTAATAAATCGGACCACCAAGACAGAAAAAAAGGAAAACTTGTAAAAGAAAATATTTAGCATTTAACGCCGATATCGAGAATTTTAATATACAAAATTAAGAAAAATTACGATGTTTGAAGGATTCATTTTCAAATTTAAACCCGAAATAAATGTTTATAATTCTTAAGCATTAAATAATTGCTAACTTATGCATTATTACCTACTTATCGTTTTGAAATTTCACATTTTCTGAACGCGCAATCTAAAATGAAGGTAGGTAACTCGTGGACATTACGTTCCCCGCCTGAAATGAGACCGTTGACCGAGCGCGCCAGTTGATTTTATTTGTGTTACATTGAGCGCAATTTCACTTATAAATTTTAAATGTTCTGCACTCGTAAATGCATTTGTTTTTGGAAACGATTTCAAATTCAACTCGGAATGTATTGGCGTGTAATTTAAAAAAACCTTTTTTAGCTCTACTTTCATGAATGCGTTTTCATAAAACATGATTGTTAAAAGTAATTAAAAAAGTCATAGAATAACAAACACACAATTACACAAACCGATACAATTTGAGGTATATCTATTAAGAAATAAATAATAATAACCTATATTATAACTAGCTTATTGGTTTTCTACGATTTGAACGACTTAAAATTACATAGAATTAACGATACCTTTGTTTTACTTATTTACAATCTTATGATTAACATTACAAATACCAAAAATTATTCAAATTTGTTTCGGTAACATTAAACTATACCATCAATATGTGAAGTATATACGTACAAGCGATGAACATCTATAGTAAAAAATATTTATTATTTTTCATGATATAAGCATTCATAAAATAATGCACCAAAGACTTTTCAATATTTTAATCCTAAATTAGTTATCTATTATTACGAATCTATTGTCTAGCTTTGAAATATTTCGAATAACATATATAAAATAAATATGTATATAGTTTAAAAACTAAAAAATATCAAACTGCGCTAACAATTAATTTCATATTTTTTTGTATCCTGTAAAGACTTGTCAGAATATTAGAGCGTCGTTGTAAAATTATTATTTTGTCATCGATTCTTGAGGCGTGTGGAAAGTTTCAAGTTAATTAGACGTATTGAAGCCAGCGAGACGCAATTTTATGATTTTTTTATTTCAATTTACTAAACATGAATACAGACAAATAAGTTTACATACATGGCAAGCTAATAAAAGCGTATTAGAAATGTTATTCTTCACATTACGCTAATCGTTGCATAATGCATTACAGCAACATGATTTGGCGACGAAACATAAGTAAGAGCTCCGCAAGCTGAATACAAATCTAAATGGGTAGAATAATATGAGGCTACCTTCTACTGCCTTTGTGATTTATAGTTTTTATTAAGGCTCTAAACTCCTGCATATTGTCAATGTTCGCTGCGTGATGTCTGCAACGGAATGTCAATTGTCACCAGTCTAGGTAATGAGTTTTATTGGTTCCGAATAAATAAAAAAACGGCTGAAATGATGTACCGTAATAATGCGTGAAACATCCTTTTGAGGTACCAATATCCAGTGCGTTTCTACCGCTTAGTTAGTTTCTGCCAAGCAGTCATGCGTTCCGGGTTGAATGTTAATACGATCGTTCTAATAAACGCTGTTAGAATTGCAGGGAACGAATAGGTTTAAAATAAAACTTAAGAGACAGTAAAATCTAAGGTTTTGTCAGTGGACTTGCTCTAAAACGGTACTTTTTTGAACTGAACGCCGATCCAACAGTCGGAAGCGGATGTTGTGTCGCTGGCGTTCCTGTCTCGATGGTAGTGCCGTTGACAGTTGACAGATAGTTGACAGTTGACAAACTTTGAGGTTTGAACAAAGTTATGATGTCTATGGGCGCCAACAATCATGTAAAACCAGGTGGTATACCAGCTAGTTCACTAATCTACGCAATAACAAAATTCTTCAGAAGTGTGTGTACAAGTAATGATGTGAAAAGCATAAGAGTAAACTTGTTGCGGTCTCGCTGTAGCTGTCACAACCCCCTGGTATAACATCGCAACAATTAAAGATTTTTCTCAATACTTCTGTATTTTTGTTACAGAGAGCTCGAGTCCGCCTACTAATTACCGCCTTCCTGTAATTTCTGCCACCAGTGAGATAGCGGATACATATTACTTTTTTTTATTGCTTAGGTGGGTAGACGATCTCACGGCCCACCTAATCTTAAGTGGTCACCGGAGCCCAATGACGTTGACAATACCGCCACCTACTTTGAGATATGAGCTCTAAGGTCTCAATATAGTTACAACGACTACCCACCCTTCAAAATTATTGTTTACTTTAAAAAAAAAAGATATGTCTGATATCGACATTTACATTTTTGTATCTATGATATATGGTGACACTTATCATTTGGTAGGCCGTGACCTCGTGTCTGTCGAAATTTAAAACAACTCTATCAAAATTTTAGTACTAAAAACAAAAACAAAAAAATATTTTAGTCACGTCCGAGCTTTTGACGGTTCTAAGAATATTTTAATCAACTGTCAAGTGTCAAGTCCGTTCTAAGAAGACAGCTCCGAAAACTTGTCCGATTGGTTTATTTTTCGATAATTCCATTTTGGGAACGTTTTATGTTCAAATGACGGATGACCTTTTTACTGATGAGCATTGAAAAAGTATAAAACGAATCGTGATAAAAATTAAAAAAATCATTCAATCAGCGGGAGTTTAATTAATAACTTGTACAGCGGGAACCGTAAGCTTGCAACGCGAGCTTCTTAACGGTACTTTTAAATCAAGACAAATAAATAATTAATACTTCTAAGTATTAATTAAGCTTCTAAGCAATATTTTAGACCTTTACCGAAAAATAGTTGGTTTAGAAAAGTTTTGATATAGATACGATATTACTTCAAAATTGAATCAAATGGATTAAAAGGGTCCTATCTTGAACGTACTCGTGGCTATTATGGCTCGTAAGAAACGTAGGCTTGAAATAGGTTAGTGATATTATATTCTTTAAAATTTTACGTATGGCAGCATAAGTATATGATGTATGTATAATGAATCTGGCACTAAATACTTTTACAACCAAATCACTCTAGCTATTTTCCAATATCACTTTCGGGATTTGACCAAAATTTATCCGGTTGCATTTTCTTTTAGCTTAGATTAAATTTTTACAATGATTTGTCTCTTTTATAGTTTAGCTAAAAACAAATCGAAAATTCTTAAAACCTATTATTTTCGTCTAGAAACTAATGAGTTATATATCTATCTTATCTCTATATATAAAAATGAATTGCTGTTCGTTAGTCTCGCTAAAACTCGAGAACGGCTGGACCGATTTCGCTAATTTTGGTCTTGAATTACTTGTGGAAGTCCAGGGAAGGTTTAAAAGATTAGATAAATATGAAAATGCTCGGAATCAAATAAAAATAAGAATTTTGTTTTTTCTTTGACGTGTCCCCCGTCGGGCGGATTCCTTTTGTTTGTTTTAAGTTTATTTTATACAACAGTTTAGGTCTTTTATTTATCGATTGAGGCACTACGAAGCCTGGCGGCTTAGCTAGTCTTAAATATTTTAAGTTAAGACTTCTGATAATTTAAGATCGTGCCTCATTTTTATGGATAGTGACAACGGGGCGCGGCCGAGACTCGGTAGTTTGTTATAAATATTTAAAACCGTTTGCCGCAATCGTGTCTATCCGTGAGGCCCTAACGAAACCGGTTCCAAACGTCGAATCTCTTCATTACCAGAGTATCGCGAACGGTTTTCCGATACCAAATAAGATATATTTATATATGGACACAAAATGGCACGTGGCAGCTTCTAACAACCGTAGCATCAATAGGATCTTAAGTTATCTTATTATCGAAGGCAATACAAAATAAAAGATTTCTTATGATCGTTTCGCGTCTGTTATTTTGGTAATAAATAGTTTTCCCCGTGTCACACACAGGCAGGATTGAATCGACGGTTTTTTTTTTAGTTCTGAATCGGACATGTCAAATAGTTCCGCATCTTCTTTTAATCATATAAATTTTTTTGTTAATATGTATAATAAAAAAGAGTTTTTTATATTACGGTAAAATTTCACACATTAACGAACGTCTCTTGATCATTGACTGAAAAAAAAACATAGAAACTCGAGTGAAGCACGGAAGCCATTAGCTACTAAACTCATCATTCGTAGCGGATGTGAAACAAGAAAATATGACTGAACACCAAAGCGCGGCGGTAATATGCGAGCGTTTACTGGGCCGCGGCACAAAACGATTAGTGTCACTACAAAATTAGCCAGCGATACTTCAGAACACTTCCCTGATCGCAGAGCTTTCGTCTCTTACTATTTCAGGTATACTAAAAGGGATGGATATAGGGTGAATTCTTTAACATGCCGTGTATGACGTGTTACCGGAACAGCTAGATCAATCAGCGTGGCGCCATCGGGAACAAGCCAGCATTTGTCAACGGACCACCGGCGCCGCCGTATTTATAGCAACACCCGCGCAAGCCGTGGGCGGCGGAGCTACGTCTCCGATAGACTCAATCCTCTTTGAATACTTTAAATGAACGAAAATATCAAAATTACGTGCTTCTAACTTGACTTATCTAACGTGTCGTATAATACAATTTTTTTTTACATTTCTACACCACTAAACGAATTAAAGATATTATAAAAACACACTATGTAGATGAAGTGTTTCTTGAACTATCATGAGAAAGCACTCAGAATACAAGTCAAGAATAACAACAGCGATATATCACTGAGACTGGAAGCACTCGCATAAACTACTTCATTGACTTTCTTATGTTTCTCTCCGTGTCGGTCATGACTTCGCGTGTGATTCTTATGTTTGTGGAAGCACAACCTAGCCAGATTCTCCTGCATTGTAGGGCAATCGTAGTCTTCGGTGCCGTCGCATTGGCAAACTGTCAACGCTGCGGCCTTTTCCTGTTTCCTTAGAATTTCAATGGAGTTAATGCATTTTTTTGAGCATTTTCTTCCTCGGAACATTGAACGGCATAGATGATGGTAGTATTGTAAAGCAGTCGAACACTGGGCGTCCGCCAAGCATATTAGTTGGGAGAGGCTGCAGGATGGTATGACATCCGAAGCGCCCTTCATCACTTGTGACCGACACACGTCAATCCTGTCCTTTGCCTCTATACAATAATCGTCTTCGCATTCACACTGCAACAAAAAAGAAAAAAAAAACATATATTTTTCTCATTCAAAACGACAATTAAATTCTATGCATATTTATTAGAATGCTTTTTACTATTTATATTTGTTTACGTTGAAGTAAAACCTTCGTCTCATATTTCGATATCGAATAACGAAAACGTAACATTTTTGATATAGAAGACATTTTCACTAACAAAACGTCCGACCCGTATCCCGCGGCAGTCCCATAAAAACTAGTGAACCAGTAAAATTTTAAGGAAACTCATAAATCGCTACGGACCATAACACATAATAATGTATCGCGTCCGTAAAATATTTTACGAGGCCAAAACATTCCTGCATCGACTATCAAAACATAGCCGCGATCACGAAATAATATTCATAAATATTGTACAATCAACAATTAATTTTGCTTTTGAATAATACTACAGCTCATTTTCTATTTATATATTTTATCAATCACAATTATAAAGCCGAGTAGCGAGTAGCTATAAACTTTTACATACAGATAATAAAATGCGAGAGCATCGATGATTTTGTATCTCGAAGTAATCTGTTAGAATTCGTTATGCTTTCCAATTTTAAAGGTCAATTTAACAGATATTCGTTTTCTAGATTAATGAAGACACGGCCGCTCGTCTTACGCGTTGTTGTTGTTTTTTTTTTATGAGGAGGTTGTAACACCTGCACAAGAAACCGACGCTGCGGTAGGTCCCGATCAAGACGTCAAATCTCAAGGCTGAATGCGGGCCGTTCCTTTGCTGTGCTCTTTCGAAACACTGTGCCCAACATTTTAATCATTGCTTTCAAATAATTCAAATCAATTTAAAAGATTTATAATTTTTCATGTCTCTACTACGCAGACAATCATTTGTCGTGATAATAACTTGTAATTAATTAGAGTTTCGATTTTTATTAACAATGTATTTGCCGATACCACAGTCTGTTGACATTCAGCTCTTTTAAGCCATTTTAAAACGTTTTTTATATGCAAAATTTATTATATTGCCATTTGCATCGAAGCAGTAGAAACAAAATTCTGTTATTTTCTGTAATTGAGTTCGATGAAAGCAGCTGCGCGACCGGGGAGGTCCGTCCGTATGTCATAGTGTCAATGTTTTTGTTGAATCAACTGGATTCGTTTCCTTGGAAAATATAATAAATACTTAAACGTTCGATCGTACGAAAAGGTTGTATCGATTCATTCGTAATTTCACTAAGACAATTGTGTATTATGCGTATTCATGTTTTTTTATTTTTTTATTACATCTGCTTCACTACGGTATCATGTACTGATATTTATTACATCTGCTTTAGTACGTTATCATGTACCGAAAATATTGAGACCTTAGAACTCATGTCTCAAGGTGGATGGCGTTATTATTGTTGTAGATGCCTATGGGCTCAGGTAACCCTTTAACACTAGACGAACAGTCAACTCGGCCACCCATCTAAGAAAATAATAATAAATCGTTTAATGTTTTATAGGTTATTCTATTACGATTTAAATTTTACTTAAATTGTAGCTAACTAGCTATACACGTCTTAACCGCGATAAAGTTTCGAGAAAGTTTCGTTGCTGACAATCACAAAACCCCACCCGATGCATCTCGCCACGGACAAACCTTCCCGACAATGTCTAAATTAGATTTTATTGCATGGCGTCTGTACGGCACACATCTACAGAACATAACCAATTTTACACGACACGTTTAGTAAACTAAAACACAGTTGGCCGTGGTTCAACGGCCATTGGAATTTTACCTTCAATTGACTGAGAACCAACCCATAAACAGCCGCAATGAAATTGTGACAGCTCTGCTTGACTACTCAATTTGTTCTGAGTAACTAAATTTATAAACAATGCTCAATCAAAAAGTCAATCATTAAATAGGCCATTAAGAACTGTTTTTTAATTGGTTTAAAAACAAAAGGAGGAGTTTCTGAATTCGATTGTATTTTTTGTCTGTTCCGATATTGATTATTTATTTATTTATTTGAAACCTAGTGCTTTTCACGTCAATGAGGATGCAATAAGGCATATTGAATTCGACTACGCTAATGATAATCTCATTTTATTATTAGGCTGAAATCGATTTTATTTTTTCTGTTAAATATGTATATTCGTGTTATTATTTGTATTGTATTTGTATTATTCCTAAGAGATAACAATGACCTGATAATGCACGAGGCGATCCTTTTGACCCATACAGCTCACTAGCTTACAACAACGTAAGTACATTTTGTTTATACCAACACATTATTTGCGATAAGGTTCATTGTAAAAATATATTGATTGCGGCACAATTCCCACAATTTGATTTATCAATCGCAATGCGTGTATCATACCTATAGTAAACGTAATAACTCGAATAATATTTTCTATAGTTTAATTAAGCGTAAAACGAAAAATATTTATATTTTACTGAGTGGGTTGCATTTGGACATATGGCGAGGTTAAGTATCATTATTCTACATATACATATCTGCAATTCACATTATGTTTTTTTTTTATTGCCTTTGTAGGCAGACGAGCATACGGTCCACCTGATGGTGAGTGGTTACCGTCGCCCATAGACTTCAGCAATGCCAGGGGCAGAGTCAAGCCGCTGCCTACCGCATGTGAGCTTCGGGTTGTGCATCAAGGGTAAACGATACACAAACTGCAGTAGTTTACTTAATTCTGTACAGATTTATTCGCAGTTCCACTAATATTTGTTTTTTTTTTACATGGGCGTACGAGCTCGCAGCCCACCTGGTGTTAAGTGGTTACTGGAGCCCATAGACATCTACAACATAAATCGCCACCCGCCTTGAGATATGAGTTCTAAGGTCTCAGTATAGTTACAACGGCTGCCCCACCCTTCAAACCGAAACGCATTACTGCTTCACGGTAGATCGGTATGGTATCAGTAGTTATAAATATTTTATGAACAAATATGAATAGAAGGGTTATTTTCATAATATCCTGAAAAGCACCCCACGCTTATTTACAATAAAATAATTTTTTCTTACACAATTTTTAATTCAAATTTATTTTCTATTTTCTAGTTCGATTTTCTATAATAGAGTATTTTGTTAGTTTTTTTTAAAACTATAATTTTTTTTTTCATTTTTTAGAATTTAAATTTTTTCAATATATTTTTTTAAATATTGAATTGTCATCGGTCCTTAATACCAAATTTCGAATTAATCCGACGTTTTGAAGGGGATCGAAAATCATGATCAAAGATTCCGTTAAATTCTAACATACGTACGTCTGAAGCTAATAAAAGCGCATTAAGAACTCACACTCATGAGCTCCTTTCCCTCTTCGGTGGATGTGAGCGCGATAAGAGCGTTGCTGCATTCGTTTGGGCATGCCGTGGGGGGCAAGTCGGTTGTGAGCACTCGTTCGCACATCATCATGTAGTTGGAGAGCGCGGCGCCGCATCCGGTCCGGTACATGCAGCGGTTGCGGGCCTCCGTGCACGGCATGGACGCCACCGCCGCCGCCGATGCCGCCAGCAACGCGGCCACCACCCACATCACCTGCAAACAACGAAGGTCCGTTAGAACTATAATAATAATATAAGTAATACTTGTAGCCAGCGGCTTGGCTCTGCCCCTGGCATTGCTGAAGTCCATGAGCGACGGTAACCACTTACCATCAGGTGGGCCGGGCCGTATGCTCGTCTGCCTGCTTGGAGAATAATAAAAAAAGATGTGTGGTGTCGTGGGACACCGGATAGGAACGAAGTTCCTTATTAGAAAAATATTAATTTTAATTTCTATTCGAGGTATAAAGAAAATAATTATTCGGGTATACATTTTTTATTATGATTTTTTTATTGATAAAAAAAACTACTTTACAAAGTTATCAACTTTATTTTATTCACAATGATTTATAAAAAATATTTAATAATAATATACAAAGAAACAGCTATTTATATAAATAATAATAATAACCGTCATCACGTAGACTATTGTATAGACATCATACTAAGACTATACATAAATAATAAAAATCTTACGTTACGGACGTTTATTCCCGGTTAGGGTACGTACCCGTCCGCATCGTCCCATAAAGAACTTCGTTCCAAAAAAATAGTGCTAATAAAAATTAAATCGAGAAATTATAATAAAAACATTAATTTCAATTGTTTACAGTAAATTTTCTGGACATAAGTTGGAAAGGCCTATGTTCAGCAATCGACAGTAGACAGGCTGAGATAATGATGATGATGATAATGACGCAAATCAGATCTAAATTATTCTGTATTTTTATCGGTGCTTAAAAACACAAATTATATAAAATATATTTGAGACATCTATAAGAGATTCTATAATCGCCTATAATAACATTTCATGAATTTGATAGTCTCGAATGTATTACAAGTTATATTGTACACTAATATAAAATATTCTAAATGCCGTTCATTTCCAAAAAAAATTGTTTATCTCTACCCCTGTATATATAGACGCCCACCTCTGATTGCATATTATAAGCGATCCTGGTTCTACTGTCTTCAATTTAAATAGTTGGAATCATGGTTAATGCTTCCACTGCCATATAGTGACGAGAACTATTCAATACTGTACATAATACATATTCACTATTCTACCCTATAGTATACCAAACACACTATACTATATACATATTTACTAAACTAAGCATTCTAGAATTTATCAATGTACGGCCGGCCTATGAAGAGCTTATTAAACATTATTAGCGGTTCTCCGGTCACCGTCCTCGCCAAACCCGTCGCTTACGTAGAAGGCTCGACGAGTAAATTAGCCCATAGACACAGCCCACTGAGTTTCTCGCCCGATCTTCTCAGTTGGTCGCGTTTCCTATCTGGTAGTAGATTCTGCGAAGCACTGCTCTTGATAGGGCCAGTGTTAGCAACACTCCCGTTTTAGGCCCGATAAATCTACTAGCTCGATAAATCTAGAATAGCCCCTCAAAGTTACTAGAATAGGTACGAAAAAAAAGCCCTTGTTGTATGTTCGTACTTTGAATCAATTCCTTTGAGCTAAATTAACAATAGAACAAAATATCAATATTTTTTTGTTATTTCACGAAGATTGTATATTATTATCACAACTATATTATCTAGTGAGAAGTGTCATTTCTAAACTAAAATAATATTATTTTAAGGGACTAATAACCTCTTGGATTGACATAGAGGAGAAGAAAAACTTACGCGACTGTTTTGATAATTACCAATAGTTTCAAAAGTGAATTATAGTGCCGCTATTTAATTGTCACCGAGCGAATCCCATTACACGTAACCCCATTACAACTGGTAGCTGTTTATGTGTATCTCTATTGCTAAGATATCAACACATTATTATCGCTAGTACCATAAAATTGATCAGACGCCAACCCGATACAATTCTAAAGCATTTTTCGATTGAGACTTTAAAAAACATACTGTACTTACTTATACTCGTACATAAAAAGAGAAACGTTTATTCGTTATGTAGATTAAGGAGGTTGTTACGGCCCATCGTGGCAAAGAAGACTTGTTCCAAGAACGGGCCGCGCTCCGACGGCTTTCGGAAAACAAACAGTATCGCCTCGCGTCCACTTCTCGCTCGCTACTAACTTACACGTTACCGTAACAGACACATTGGTATATAGGGTTGCCAGGTTGTTATGATCTAGTTTTCTAAAAATTCGAATTTAAAAAAATCTAGAACACGAATATCGTCGATTGTTTTACAGCAGCGATGAGCAGATGATCGCACAGTTGACCTGGTTCCCGGGTATGTCAAAATAAATAAGGTCGAAATCTCAATACCATTGTGAAGTGAACATGTTATTTTAGAAATCGGAACACATTCATTGTTCTTCACAAACACGGGTAGAACGATGGTAGTTAACTGTTTAGACTTTACCACATACGCATTGCCGTAAATAAAATAAGTCAAATATTAACTGAATTAAGGGCGGAGGGTTGAATTAATTTTGAAATGAGAAAGTCCAACGTAACGAATGAATTAAGAGCATACTATAGCACCTCCCTAGCTATACTGATAGCCCAAGAAATCGCCGGACGGACTATTATTAGCGTTTCATAGTTTTTTTCCATATGCAGATATTTATAAATATACATCAACCGAAGTACTTATGACAAAATCAATTAGATCAAAATAAAGAATTTACTTTAAAAAATCTACATCTAAACAAATTATTTCATTCTGTTAACTCTTTTGTCACTCATTTTCACTCTTTCAATTTTAATTTATCACTTCATTTAAAATTCGGATTGCGTGTGTATGAGAAACGTTTTAATTCATTTAAATTTTAAGAACTGGTACCTACTTTAAATCTTCTCATAATATGCAATGAAATATTCTACGGTCTGAACTCCGGTCATCATTCTCGTCGAACCCGTCGCTTGCAACGAAGGGCTCGGCGAGTAAATGAACCCACAGACACAGCCCACTAGGTTTTTCACCGGATCTTCTCTTCTTCTTCTTCTGAGTGTTAACAACGTCGTCAGGTTTGAGCCCCGTAAGCTCACCTACTAATTCGGTGAATCTAGAATAACCCCTTGAGGTTACTAGAATGTAGGGAGGTAGGAAAAAAAAGTTCTGAATTTACGTTTGTCTCGCTACTTTTACGTTTTCCACATTTCGAAGACTTCAAAATGTTTGAGTTCACCGAGTCTTAGAACAAAACAATGAGCCTGATTAATCTAAATATGAAACTCGTGAAACCCCAGAATATACCTACTACACTGTAAGCCTCAGTTACTAGGATTGTTTTTCTTAATCTAAGATATTTAGATACCGAATTCTGGAGTCTGCGTGTCAACCCTACGCCGCCGCGCCATAGAGATCGAATCATAGTAGTAGGGTCATCGTCCCAAGAAGCGTCCGTGATGCAAAAAGAAAACAAAGTGACAAGTTAAGATGTCCGCCACTCTCGCTTGCTTACTCAAGTGTTATATTACAATAACACTGATTACACATTCAGAAATACTCTGTACGGTTTGTTGCTTAAGAACGAATTTCGTTTGGCACCGAAGTTCATATTTGACAATATTATTTGGTTACTTAATAAAATTAGATTTCGACAATTTTGTTATCATAATTACAATACAAACACTCTTAAATTTTATTAAGAGTTACTTTGTAAATTGTTTTTGAAACTCCTAAATTAATAAATGCTACTGTGAGTTATCACAGGTGTGTTACGACTTTAGTAAAAATAGTTTAATTTAATGGTTCTTCCAATGTACAGTTATAAAGAGACATTTAGTGTACGTAGACTAAAAGTATTTTTATGTTGTACATTTCTGTGATGGCTGAACTGGTTGGTCAGTGGTATTTAGTGATACATTCCTCCGCCGCCTCCGTTCGTGCTCCTCATACCTGAGGGTCGTGACCACCTCTATCCATGACTTAGATTGGTGGACGAGCTCACAGCCCACCTAGTATTAAGTGGTTACTGGAGCCCATAGACATCCACAACGTAAATGCGCCACCAACGGCGGATCCAGGGGGGGGGGGGGGGTCATGGGGGTCATAACCCCCCCCTGAGCTAGTTCCAGGACTTGAACTAACTTGGACTAATTGAAGAACATCATGATTTATTTATTATCTATCGACTATGTGACCCCCTCCTGGCGCCAAAGCTGGATCCGCCCTTGTGCGCCACCCACCTTGAGATATAAGTTCTAAGGTCTCAAGTAATAGTTACAACGGCTGCCCCACCCTTCAAACCGAAACGCATTGCTGCTTCAAGGCAGAAATGACCCCCATGACCCCCCCCTGGATCCGCCGTTGAAAGAGTTACGAAACAAAGTAGTTCTCTCAGATTTGCGCAGGTTTTAGACAAAATGAAAAACCTTTTTTCGATTAAGTTAAGCTATTTTAAAATTATACTGTTCATAATTTAAATCCATTTGAATGATTTGAATCGAATCACTTGATACTTTTCACAACTAAGATCTACTTACAATTTCATAACTGCTTGCCCTTAAGATTTAAAATCCAAACTTTAGATAAACACCAATTATCTTTGTTGAAATATCAGTATTTCACAATTTGCATGCACCACCACCCTGCCTATTTCTGCCGTGAAGCAGTAATGTGTTTCGGTTTGAAGGGCGGAGCAGCCGTTGTAACTATACTTGAGACCTTAGAACTTATATCCCAAGGTGGGTGACGCATTTACGTTGTGGATGTCTATTGGCTTCAGTAACCACTTAACACCAGGTGGGCTGTGAGCTCGTCCACCCATCTAAGCGATAAAAAAATAAAAAAGATAAAATTCAGATCTTTTGATCTGGATATTCTTTAAAATGAAAGTCCATACTTGACAAACGGTAACGTTGAACGACCCGACTGACTCTTAGCGCCCATTGATACCCAAGTCATCGGATGTGAAATACGCAACAGCTGAAAATGCCGATCAACGAAGCTCTGCACCGGACAAAAGATCTATATATTAATACGTGAAGCAAAAACTTTATATCCCTTTTTACGAAAATTGCGCGGACGGAGGACTATGAAATTTTCCACACTTGTAGAGAATA